AAATTAAAAGATAAAAAAATAATGAGATTTGGTCAATAGAAGCTTTGAAATATTAATAATGATACAAAGTATTAGTTTATTGTAATAAGAAAAATAAATAAATAAATAAAACATAAAAAAAATCAATAGGCTATTGGCAAAGTAATTTGAGATTAGTATTGGTGAATAAATTCTAAAGTCAAGGTAAGTACAATTTATAGATTTCAACAAATTGGTGCATGCTCAAATTAACAAGTTGTGCTAGAATAATAAAAGGTAGTTTATCACTAAGTGTATTTGATAAGCCTTGCTCAATAATAATATTGGTTATCTTATGCCAATTGAGTGAATATTAATATACTAGGTGTCAACAACATGTTTCTTAGATCTATAGTCAAATTATCAAGTGTTTGATACATCTAAATATAAAACCCATCTAAAATGTCTCTTGCATGCAATTTAGATAGTGCATACTTATTATTTACAATAAAGTTGTTTGGTAATTGTAATGCAAGTACATGCAACTCCATCTCTTTAATATTTTCCATTAAACAATACATTGTAATAAAAAAATTTGTTAAAGCAACATTCAAAGAAATGGACAAAGTATCAACAATTGACATCTAATTAAGAGAATAAATCTTTCTTTTGCATTGTTGATACTTTGTATGCCAATACCTTAGACTCCTATTTTTACAGAGATAAATATGTTATATTTCTTTTGAACATATCAATTTTTAAAACTATGGTTGGAGAAGCTTTGTGTTGCTTCAATGACATTAAAAATGTAATGTATAAATGTGCTCTTAGCATCTTTTAATTGCAAGTCAAGAACAAGGATAATAAAATCTTTAGTTTCAAGGTAACAATCAAGATGTTTCACTATTTTTTATTGTATATCAAGTACCTCTTATGTTGTTATGCTACATTTCAAATGGTAGTCCATTTGATTCACATCACATTGCATCATTGTAGTCTCTTTTATTTATAAGGTGTCAATCATAGAATTGCTTCAAATTATGCCTAGATTGTTTGTACAAATTCTTTGCAAAATTCTAACAAAAATTGTCTTAAAGATTTAGATATTCTCAATTGTATTGGATAGCAATACATCAATATATGTCTTATCTAGATGTGTGTAGTTGCTTCTAGTACAATAGAGCCATTTAAAACTTTTATCCATTTGTTATTCTTCTATTTGATCAACACATTAGAAAAATCATGTTTAATAGAACACATGCACTTATGGATATGTTTTGCCATACATCGAAATAAAAAATCTAATCCACACCAATTATTTGTTATTTGTATTGGATAGCAACACCAGTTTAGGTTTCCCCATTTTTGCCTATTCTAGCAAAAAAAAGGTATCATCAAAACCCAAAACTCCAAACCAGTCAAACAGAAACAGAATGCAAGGATCCAAGGTGACGGAACCGATTCTAAGTTGAGATGGCAACATTAAGCACAAGAGTCGGGTGCTTCATGTTGTCATCTCCGTCTTGTGCAGTCGGAGGGGTGGTCTCCATCTAGATCCTAGACATGAGCACCTACATACGAAGGATATTGTAATCTTAGCCTTTTTATGTTGAATGCTATGTTGCACTTTTTGCAAAATTTAGGCCGTCCCATTTATGATTGTGTTGCTTTTGCTCATGCAGTATTCTAGTGCTATCAGTGTCGGTGCAAATATTTATTGGTGAAGAAAAAAACACCTATCTTATTGGCTTATACTTGCCCGTGGTAGCGTTTCGGAGAGATAGAATGGGCTTGAGCAGCTGTAAACACTCCCTCGTGGTCTGTAAAGTTTTGCAGAGGCGGTACCTCTTGAAGTCATCGTGCTAAATGTGTCCCTTCCAATTTCGTGTGCATGAGTAGCGCCGTATGACATTACTCAACTTCGGACCTGATGATGAGTTTAAAATAGATACATGTACTCGGCGTTTTACCTCAGGAATCTTGATGGAGTTGTTTTCAGAGGTGTGGATGTGAAGCACGATAAGTAGTAATAATCTATATGATCAAAGTTGCGTACAACAATGTATGCCATGTGAGAGATTATGTCGCTCAAGTTTCCCTGCTAATTTAACTTCCTATTTCCATGTCAATTAAATTTTCTTGAGATTATATTGGTGAGCATTACTCTTCTACATTTGAATAAGTGGAATGTACTAGTTGGTGCAATAATCAGCATGATCAAAGTGGATAACCCTGGAGGAGCATACCGAAAACAAGGTCTAGAAACCTGGCTGTTATTTTCCAAATGACCGAACATGTCCGAGGAATGAAAGACGAACAGCGATGACCACATCGAAAGAAGTATGAGCTTCGACACACAGTCGTTGGGGACACCAGCAACCTCGGACCGCTTTCCTCACCCTTCCCTACGTTCCCAGTTCTACATGACACATCCCCTTCATTGCTCTCACACACTTCAGTGTACCTTACTATTCTACCCTCCTTCAAGCGCTCTACCACACTCATACTCTACACTAACATCTTTGATACTCTGTGGATACTGTACTGATTTCTGATTTACTCTTTTGATTGTTGTATTGTATATACGGATCGTTGTTGCATTGTGAGAATACAAACTGTGCAGGGATTTGGATCCTGCTGTCTTTGGCGAAGCGCTTTCACTGCAATTTGCAGACAATGGCTATACCAGTGAAGGCATCTCAGACACCGACCAAGAATTTGGAAGCGGGTATCTCTGAGAGAGCGCAGCAGTCCGGAGGTTGTTGTGACGAGGAAGATGGTCGAGATGAAGTCTCCTGACAGATCGGTAAGGAAATGCAAGAATGAAGATCGCTTTCATGTGTCTGTCATTAGTGTTGATTAGTATTTCCTGTTTCTTGTGACACTACTGCCGTTCCAATTTCTTCAGAAAATCAAGTAGTGTATGTGAGTTTTAGATATTGCGACAAGTTCGACACAGTGATGGTAACTTATTAGTGGAATTCGAGTCTCGAGGGTACTGAATCTGGATCAGATTTGTTCTAGACGGACCGCTTCATCACCGACCGAAGTACAATGAATTTTGAGATTGCCAATTACCTGATATCAGAGGAGAACTCCTCATCTGACGCGAATTCTCAATCCAAGGATGTTTATAGGAATCAATTGGGAGAGAATCTACTGAACGACCACTGCCAAGAGCAGTATCGCATACTTGCATTTAAGAGCAAGCCTCCTCCTCCCCCCGAAGGATTCCATAACGGCAGAAAGTCCCTGTATTCTCAGAATATTGCAGTCAGTGAAGCAACGACCAAAACTAAGTTCCGTCACATTCCGCAAGCCCCCGTGAGGACTTTGGATGCGCCTGATCTCATTGATGACTACTACCTCAACCTGATGGACTGGAGCTCCAACAATGTGTTGGCCATTGCTCTTGGCAGCACAGTATCTGTGGGACGCCGCTACTAGCTCCATCGAAGAGCTTCTGATTGTACAGGAGGGAGGCCCGGTTACAAGCGTATTCTGGGCTCCAGAAGGCCAATATATTGCCGTAGGGCTGAACAATAGCACTGTGCAGCTCTGGGATTCATCGTCTCTCCGTCAGGTAAGTGGTTTTATGTGGTGATTGTGCAGTAGAGTAATATATTACATGTAAATATCGGTGCATTACAAGACTTGATAGCAAGTTGCCCATTTGATTAGTCGAGCTCGTGTTGCAGCTTAGGACATTGAGGGGTCATTCGGCGCATGTGGGCTCCTTAGCATGGAATGGACCAACTCTCGCAACAGGAAGCCGCGACTGCACTATTCTGAACCACGACGTGAGGATTCGTCGACATATGAAAGGCAAGATGAGTGGCCACGAGCAAGAGATCTGTGGGCTTATATGGTCGCCGTCGGGGCAACAGTTCGCTAGCGGAGGCAACGACAATTTGCTCCATATTTGGGACTCAGCGGCTGCGTCATCCTCTTCGTCCTCCTATCTACATCGCCTCGATGAGCACCAGGCTGCCGTTAAAGCTCTTGCATGGTGCCCGTTCCAGAGGAACTTGCTTGAATCAAGTGGAGGAACCGGCAATCGGTGCATCAAGTTTTGGAACACGCACACTGGCGCATGTGTGAATAGCATTGACAGGGGATCCCAAGTGTGCGCTCTTCAATGGAGTAAGCATGAGAAGGAGATTCTTAGCTCCCACGGATTCAGCCAAAACCAGCTGTGTCTATGGAAATACCCCTCCATGGTGAAGATGGCCGAATTCACTGGCCACACATCCAGAGTTCTCCACTTGGCTCGGAGCCCTGACGGGTACACTGTTGCCACTGCCGTAGGCGACGAGATCTTGCGGTTCTGGCAAGTATTTGGAGCTCCTGAGACCAAGAAATCATCGCTTAAACGGGCCACGAATATTTGAAGTGCGCTGAACTGCTTGACCAAGATCAGGTAAGCCATTGAGGTGAGCAATCTCGATCTTGTATGTGAGTTACTGTAATTCTGTGTACATGTAGGTTTCATAGTATGTAAAGCATGGTCTTGTCTGAGCATAATTGATTGGTTTGACGTTGTGCTCCGTATGTCAATTGTATACTGACCTCACATTCCCTCTAAGGGTTCTCTATTCGGTGTTCCATAAACACCAACATATCTGCTGGGCATCTACTACACTTTCTGTACGATGCCTTGCGCTCCCTTGGCGATTAAATTGCAAATCCTTAGTACATATTGTGTATACATATTCTTCCATTTGCGACACGGGGAATCAAACCAGATAGAAGACAATGTAACTAGCACGCAGTAATTGGTAAATAGTTGATATAGCTTCGGTAGGCAAATGGCAGAATAATTGCTAACTTAGTGGTGTGATATCGAGGATTGTAGACAATAACTAAGTGGTGTGACATCGAATATATCACTTTCGTACTGTAACAGAAACAATGTAACAGGTTGTTTTCATTTAACCAACTATGAAATGCAACTAAATGAACCTCAATCACACTAATTCATTTGCAAAGAACAATCTGATAAGAATGGAAACACTTCTCGTGCGGTATTTTACTCACACTTGTCATAGCTTTGATAATTGTACATTCCTGTCCCAGTCATCAAAGATTCGGCTTCTGCTACAATATAGCATCCGCCGATCTTGGGGGAGGTACATGAGACCAATAAAACCAAGCCGGATCGAAAATAATGTTTGTAGAGTCTGCAACCTCATTCCTCTCATCACCATGTATGCGTGTAGCCGAGTGTAAATGTTGTAGTATATCAAAATCACTCTGGCAGTTCCAACAATCCAGCGAAGACCATACCAAACACTTCGGGATCTGACTCCACTGCGTGTTCATGAATACACCAATTTTATGATTTTTGGGACACTGAACTGGAAATGATTTGTCCGCATTTGAAAGAGTGAAAATGCGACAGAGGATGACAACCCTAAGACACAGAATCATTGTAGGAATGCTAACTGGTCGGGACGAATAAGGCCCACAAACAGAGCGAGCCACATCAATATCCCTAACGCTAGACGAAGACTCTCATGGGTGTAAGTGAAAGCATTGTCGAATTTCGTGAATGCTACTACCGCGCTGCAGGTGACTGCGAGCACAGCAATTACCTGAAAGGTCGATGGACGACTTGATTTCAAATTGCGCAACATCAACATGGCGCTATCAAAATATGTTACATTCAATGTCTGTTGGACATGGGAATGAAGAAAAGGGAACGTAGAAAGGGAAATGTTGCACACCTGAACAAAGATGTGAGCGTAGACTGAAGTCCACACGGTTTTTGTCAGATTTACTAATATATATTAGATTAATCAATACATGTTAGTAAATAAATAATTACCTTTATGTAGTTACAAAGTAGTTATGGAGAAGTTACAACTACTTCTCTCCATAAAACAATATAAAAGGCTCTTATCAATATGATGAAATTAAGTTATTTTGCTAATATACTTCATGCTTTATTTTATCATTCTTAGTGTTCTTTCTCTTACATGGTATCAAAGCACTAATTTTCCTTCATTTTTTTTTAGTGTAAAAGGAAAACTCCACCCACTATGGCTTCTTATAATTCTTCTCATACTCTGTTATTACCCTTAGTTTTTGCAAATAACTATTGTACTTGGAGTATTAATTGGAGGCTTTCTTAAGTTGAATAGAATTATGGAGAGTAGTTGATAACCCTGAGGTTGCATCCAATATAAGTAATTTGGTGCAACATCATGCCTGGTGTTTGAAGAATATCAAAGCCCATGCATAAATACTTGTGCATTGTAGAGATAAGCAACTTATGATACTACACAAACTACCTATATCAAAGACAATTTGGAATTATATCAAGCATATTTACAAACAATCTAATAAAGCTTCCCAAGTAGATTTCTATAAGAAGCTTTATCATTTAACTATGGATGAGAATGAAGCTGTTCATGCATTCGTAGAAAATTAAGAGTACATCCTAGAAGAAGTTGCCATTGCTGGTTGTATTTTCATCAAATCACAATAAGTCAATTTATTATTAATTATTCTTTCCAATTCACAGAATGCATTCGTTACTACCTAAGGTAAAATTAATGATTTAACTTTTTCAAAATTATTATCTAATATATTTCAACAAACAGCAATCAATTGTTCAAAACATGACAACTCTAAAACTAGTGTCTTTTATGTGAAAGGAAAATTTGTTAAGAATAATAGACCTTCTCACACTCCAAAATTAAGTGATAACTCTTTTCAACAACATTATTCTAAACTATCTTATGCTTCACATTCCAATCTGCTGACTAAAAATATTATCTGTCATTACTATGGATAACAAGGACACAAATCCCCAAAATGCCACAAGAAATAAAAAGATCAAATGAACAAATCAAAACCTACAAAATCTTATGTTGTTGAGGCATCTTTATATATATTTATGGCAGGAATTTGTAAGCCACAAGCCACAAAAAATTTGAAACAGTTTATTTTATAATGTTTCAAAATGCATCAATGTCTGAAGTAGACAAGTTCATTTGTATAGCTCCATGAACTATTTGCAAACTATTTTGTATTAGACAAAACATAAGCATGAAATTATCAACTATCTTATACCAAATCTTCACATATCTTTCAACTATATAGCAATTCAAAAATGATTGGTAAATGCATAGTGATCTCAGCAATCTAAAGAAATAACATGTAGATTTTGATTTTTAATTAATAAAAAGTTGAATTAACTTTGCACTTTTGCTCCATTTTTGGCAAAAATAATAATGCATGTAGCTAATTAGAAATAGTTTTTGTCTCCTCTTGTTTGTCTCTTAAGTTGTTTTATATAATAGATATATATTTTCTTATTAATAATCAAACTATAATTGGCCAACATAAAAAAATAAAATAATAAATAAATCAATAAAAAAAAATCAATGTCTTGTAAAGAATAAAATAAGTTTTTTGTTGCATTATCTTTAAAAACCTAAAAGATTAAGATATTGAAGCTATAAAATTATCATATAAAAATATATATTTGAATTAATTTTTTATTTTAAAAGGCATATAAATGCAACATGTGTAAGTTATATCAATAAAAGAATATGACCTCATTTAAACTAATGATTAGAACTTTAATAACTATTATTTCTTTTGGTTTATTTTTTATATATATAAAAAAGAGAATGCCAAAATAAAAATTTATGAAATTAATTTTATTAACCATTAATAAAATAAAATAAAAATATTTAATATGATATAATATTATTTAAAATTCAAATAAAATTCTTAAAAAATAATTTATAACAAGCAATATTTGTAAAGGTATTATAGAGAGAAAAAAAAGAAAAAGAGTTAGATTTAAAAAATTAGAAATTAAATTAAAATAAATATTAGCCACTAATTTTATTGTTTGTTTAAAAATTGTACTACATAAATTTATTTTTAAGATTACTACAAACTCCATGAAACCTATATAAAACTATGTGTTGAAAAATATATGTAAAATTTTATTATGTATTACCTAAGAAAACAAGTGTTCTATCTAATATACTAAAAATAAGAGCATCTTATTTTATAACAAATATCTAAATATTAAATGTCTTTTATGTTTTTGGAAATAAAAATATTTAATCATATGAGACAACAAATAATTCATATTAGTATAGAAAAAAACAATTGGTGATATAAAAACTCAATGTACATTATACTCTAATTTAAATTCAAGCAATCAAATTCCTTTGTTGAAATATAATCATTGAGATAAATTAATGAAAACTGAAATTTATATAATAGTTTTAAAAACTAGTTGATCTTTAAAATTTCTATTCCCATAAATTACATTTTTTTTAAAAAGGATTGAAAAAAAAATTTATAGATAAAATGAACCTCAAAATATAATAAAAAGTGCATGATTTTTAAAAATAACATATTAGTTTATTATGAATGAGTCATTATTAAAATTTTATTAAAAAAAAGATAATTTCTATATTTGCATCAACTAAATTTCTATTATGTTTTTATACTTTAATTTTTTTTCCTCCTTTTAATATGCATTCTTATATAAGATCATACTTTGAAATGATCTTAAATTAGACTTACAAACATATTAAGGACCAAGATGTTAAAATATTATTTTAAAATCTAAAACATGTTGTGCAACATAATAATATTATTTAAAAAAAAATTAAACATATATTATTAATAGGAGTCAATAAAATAAATACATAAAATTTTCCTTCATAATTACATATATATATATATATATATATATATATATATATATTTTAAATTTTTTATCCTACATTTACTTCTTTTTTTTACCGAGAAATAAAACGAAATATTTTGAGTAAATAAATTCCTACACTTTTCTTCTATTATGAGATTTAATAAGTTAATTTTCATACACACAAAACTAAATTGGATTTTCCTGCAAGACTTGTATTTGATCAGATATAACACACAATCATTGATATGTAAAAATATTTGTGGCAATCACTGAACACATGTTAATCTGTAATTGCTTTTTGATGTTCACTGCTTCCCTTCAACATATTAAGAATGATTCAACATGACAAGAATAATTGAACTCTTTTATGTTTAAATAACATTTTTCATTTTATACAAAATTTGTAATTTAATCTTCACCAGCATTGTAGGCAGTAACATTACCGAGTCCAATATCAAAATCCAAGCACTGCACCAATTTAATATCCATAAACATGAGCTATTTCAACTTGTTTCTAAATTGGAAGATTGCAAGATCCAAGAAACAAGATTGGAAAGAAGTGAGGGAAAAAAAAAAAAAAAAAAAAAAAAAAAAAAAACTTAAAACATTCTTTGTCTACATAGTTCCTTGTAAACAATTCTGGGTATTTCAACAAAGAATGTTGGGGGTTAGAAATGTGCATATTTCTGCCTGTGACGGAGTTCAGAAGCACCGAATTACCGAAGCTCCGGTCCACCAGTTGAGCCACGTTGGAGTGTATGTCTAGAATGTCTAGACTGCAACTCCATTATGCAGGATTGATCTGTAGCATGCTCCAGTCCCCTCGTGTCGGCATCGTGGTGAGTTAGCTCGTCTTGTCTGTGGCTTTTTGAACACCAAAAAAAACCGGTGACTCCTGGGCTCTTTTGCTAGTCTGCATTGTCCAGTCTTGAGGCCATTTCTTCTGGCAGATACTTGAATGTGTGTCTGTTGGAACCATGACATAAGGGTTGCAGACCACCACGTTCATCGATCATTTGGAACTTGCTTATAGACGTAGAAGTAGAGCTTACAGAAAGAGGCAGGAATGTTTTAAAAACCGAGAAGCCATCTGGACAAACTTCAATGATGTGGGTGTTTGAACCCATGGTGTTGCTTGAGTCCCCTCATGTGGTTGAGTTTTTGCAAGATAAAAGCTTTTTTCGTTGTTTTCTCCCTCGAATCTGGACTTGGAGCCAGATATGCACTTCGACAGTCCTGGACAATCAAAACATTTTCATAGTTGAGGAAGTTGAAAAAGTTTGATAAGTGAATGAGAACCACTTCGTCTCGATCACCAACTGAATGAAAACTTGAGGGTAATGTTCGGAACTTCATCATCAGTTCTTTTTTGCAATTTCCTGCTACATTGAGATTTGTTCAAGCATGAGGTCTCCGACGTATAAACACCGCAGAAAATTCACCGCCGAAAGGGTCAGTGTCCTTGCTTTTATTTCAGGGTGCGTTGCAGCCAAACTCCACATACCCTTTTGCAAAAGCCATGGTCACCAAATGACGCTTTGGATGAAGCTGTACCGTTGGTGATAAAAAATTCCTGGTGCGGCTCTTTTATTGCTAACTCTGTAGAAAAGAAGTGATGTTTCTTCACTATATAGACCATATTTGCGTAATACGACATTGTTGAAAGGGATACACTCATGTAGTGTTATCGGCAAATCCAGTAAACTTGCTTCATATTTCAAAACCCAAAACCTTCAAACTTAGATGCAGCTTTTCAACATCGCAATTGCTATTAGAACTCACATCTATCGACTGAATAAGCATACGCAGACCACCATTTCACGAAATCTAGGAAAAATTTTGCACCATGCTCTACTCCATCAGTGCATCGGGTTCACCCCGTCTTTGTGTCAAAATAATAATAATAATAATAATAGGAACAGTATCCAAGAACCGCAGTAACTGATAAGCTCTTGCAATTGAGGATTTTTCAACAGTTCCAACGAACGAATGAGGACTTACGAGGACATAACCAAGCAACGAAATGAGTACACCCTGGGTTACAGAAGTTCCGGGTCAACATGCATCCACAACTCATGCAGCAATAAGGCACAAACTCATGAGACGACGGAAGAAGCCATCCGAACCAGAATCTGATGAAGAAACTCTCTCGTGACTAAATAAAGGCTTCATTCCTTTCACTATTAACGTACACATGATTACCGAGACATGTTGTAAACTGTGTTAACACATGTCACAGTTCCTGCGTCCCATTGCTGGAGTTGTGTGCACCAGTGTTTTCGACGACAGTTGTACTGGCACCGACCCAACCCACAAGAGCCTCGATGCTCTGGTAGAGCTCGAAATGGGGCTGCCATTGAATTGTTCAGAGTTGTGTGGTATTGGCGCATCGTTGAAGGAGCCAGTACTGTAGATAACCAGCATTTGCTGGGATGTTGGAGCTCTGCTTTTAGTTCATGAATGATGAAAGATCCCTTGATATTAAAGCTCTTTATCTTTTCAGTTCAAAAGCATTTTTATGCATCTTTTTGTGTTGGAGTCCGATTGGGGCATCGTGGCTGAAAGTGTGGGTGTGACAATTTGCAGAACAACGAAAAAGGCATTGCAATTGCATTCATCACAGGATGGGACTTTTCCAGGAGGATAGCAAGATGGGTGCGGTTTTTCCTTCTTTTAGAGAGAATATGTAAAGGAAGTAGCAATAGTGCGCTCTAGCTAGAACCTTTGTTTAATGTTATTTCTATTCTTGTTATGACTTTTTGTGTATTGTAAGTTAAATTACCATTAATCAACATTTGTAGAAATTTGTTGGAATAAGAGAGTTACAAAAGTGATATTTAATTATTTATGTATGAATTTATATTTCTTTATTGTGTTTTTTTAAAAAAAATTGTGCTAATTATTCACATCTAGATATTTTGATCAGAATATATAAAATTAAAAGTTTTTGAATTAGATCCTTTTTACTTGTTCTTGCAAAAGAAAGTTGTTGATTTAGGTTGTTTTTGTGACAGAGTTGTTAAAATAATATATATATATTTTTTTATTTTCAAAGAGATCTGACTTGGTGTGCATACTTGATTTAAAGGATATTTGTTATGTTATATTAGTCTCTTAAATGTATGCTAATAAAAGTTAAAACACTATATTTTGTAATAGTCTTGCAAAAAAAATCTTTCAAATTTGGCTTATCAATTTTATATGTAGATTGCGTATATTATAATTTTAATGCAATTTAGTTTTTTGTGTATTGCAATATAAAGAATCATTACAATATAATTGTTCTATATATATATATATATATACATCAAGTATTATACATATACTTCTAAGTTTATATATGAAACATCATATACAAAAAATAGAATTTGATAATCAAATAACAACTCTAATAACAAACAAAAGTTTCAACAATTGTCTGAAAGTGATTGAAATTCAATAAGGTTCGAATTTTAAGATTTTTCAAAAAATTCTTGTTTTAATATTATTATTATGTTAAAATTGTATTTTAGTAGTAATATCTGATTTTGGTGAAAGTATCTATAGACACTAATACTATATAATATAATAGAGAGTAATAAATTAGAGGTGGTCAAACAACACTTACACAAAAATATTCAACCATTCTTTTTGTATACATGGTAACTTTTGTTTAAAAAAATTATGATTAGTATGAAAAAATTATTTTAGTTTTAAGATATAAACCAATATAAAGTCTAGGTGATACTTAATAAATATTTATTCCTTCTACTTATAAATTAAAAATCTCAAAAAAATTTATGACATCTTCCAATTCTCTAGAGGAAATAATTATTACTTTATTGTAGGCATATAATGCTTATTTGGGTATTAAAATTTTAATAGCCTATTATAATATTTACTTTCTAATTTCTAATTTATATCTTTTTATCTATCACCTAAAAATATTGGCAATTTATGGTGTTCTATGTAATAATATATAAAATTTCACATTAATTAGATGTTTTCAAAAGATTGTTCTAATAACTTATTTGTAAAAATATTAAATAATTAATATTACAAAAAAAAAATGAGTACATGCAATTGATTTGTTTTATGTGTATATACATGTGTGTGAATATATACATATATAATTTATTTTTAGCATAATAAATTAGTTATTAAATAAATAAAATAAACAAAAATTATAAATTCGTGTGATTAATTTCTTCTCAAGAAACTGATCCTCTATATTTTCCCTTCTTTAAAAAAAACTGTAATTTTTAAAATTTAAGGATTTAAAAGACCATAATGTGAATTGAACAATAACATTCACCAAACAAAGAACCGTGCAGATTCTGTAAAAAAGAATCAGCTCCTTTCTGCTCAAAGAAGAAGTTGAATTCTTCACTTACAGCTTTTTCTTAACATTATTTATTCTGTAGTCAATTTGTTTTTAATTTTTTTGAATCTATTGTATTCTAGGTCATTGTTTGCAACAAAACGTGTACATTACTTCCAAATTTTTGCACAAATGGCATTCAGTTAAACATTTATTTCTGTGTTTTTTTTTTAAACATCATTATAACTAATACAGAAAGTCCAGAGTACACTTGGAGTGAACAGCCATAAATCCCTTTAGTTTAAACATCCATGACCCACACGCTCAACATCTCATGGGAACACAGAATGCGAGCTCGGCCTCGCAACCAATCAAATCAGCTTCAGGCCTTTCTTTGCCGCAATCAGGACAACACTTCCGTTGCTCTCACCGCGTGTTTCCACCTACGAAACGGGACGAAATATTACACTGCGAACCGGAAAAAGGAATGAGATCATAATGGCTACAGGCTTGCTGCGACAAACTATCCAAGTGTAGCTGACCCTGACGAAGCGGAGACGACAGATCTTGCGCAGAATATGCCGCATCCGCAAATATCCCAAGTGGCGTTAGCAAATAGTCAACCGGTGTTGTTTTTTCAGTGTTGGCGACGCAGCAACGGTAGACGCAGGGCTCATGTTCCATGCATGGTTGCCATTGTGGTGCAGATCAGACTTCGGCACCACCTCATTTGTGTGCCTTGCGATCCATGAGGACCCAGTTGACCACTCAAAGCGCACAGGATCTTGCCTGCCCTCCGTCACCGGTTACGCACCTTCGCTGTGCTCGCAGTGGCGCTGACTACCACACCTCCATCTCTTGGTTGCCATATTTATCGTCCCATATCCCCAACTGAGTTCTGTCGTTTCCGGAAACTAAATCCGCACACCCGACAAGAACTTGGAAGCCTGTGGCGATTAATGATCCGGTCGAGATCCATATGGCACCACAATTTCCCCTTTGTGGGTGCACTACATGTAACATGTGGATTGCAAAAGATAGTTTCGAGAACCTCGCGATGGAACTAACTAGACCTTCCCGATCAGGCACTCCGCCTCTGCAACACGAGGAGGTGCGGGGGGTTAGGGCCGACGATTGACTATTGTTGATTTTGTGGACTAGGTAATTCGAGGTTTTCACTGGGCCACTTGAGTTTCGACTACAGCCTCATTTTAAGGTTTATCCTGTTCCTGTATCGTGTTGCACGGCGGTTGGATGAGATCAATTGAAATGGTTCTAGAAAAAGATCCATTTCGGTACCTGACTGTTGCCGATGCACACTAAACGGCATGAGGTTGCAGTTGACCCTGGATTTCTCATACCAAAAGAGATGGATGTACAAAGTTGATGTGAAGCTTCGCCGTATGAATCGAGCACCTACTACTCTGCCTAAATTAGCCATTGACCTTGCGCGCTTCCTCGCCATCGCACCACCATCGTGGAGCCCCTTTTGGGATTTCGTCCATTTCGCCAGCACACGCACAAAACAAACTAGCCCCCATAGACAACAGTCTGGATGATTTTGTCCCCAGGTTAGCGCGAACAAGGAGGAGTGGACAACATCATCGAAGCTGCGTAGAGTTTTCTTGGATTGGAAGCGTATAGCATCTTGCCGTATCGGATCTTACAAGACTTTCAACAATCACTTCCATGTAAATATTAGAAATCAAGTGTAGTGGGATTGCCTTTCTCTCTATAATAGGCCATTTGTGTTCAGGTTTGGAATGTGTTGCCATCCAATTGTTCAGAAAGTCTCGGGACAAGTAATTTTTTCGAATCCAACATGCTGTTGGGTTTCCCACAAATTGGAGAGTTGGGGGTGTAGAGCTAGCCAGTTTGATCTAAATCTTTGTCGAAGTAACCGGAGCGTGGCGCTTACTAGGCACAATAACTTGAACGGATATGCGAATGCTCTAACTTAAGTTATGCAATTTAAACAGCATGTTTCAATCAGATGATGATGAGCCTTGGATGGGCATGAGGATGCCTAAGTAAAAAAAACATAAGTTGCATGCTGTCAACACATACATATATATATATATATATATAGAATAACATTTATCTGAAGTGGAATCTCATCATCTTATTTCTTTTTTGATGCCATGGTATCGAACAATTATTAACTCAACCTGAGAACTGCAGTATCTGTGCAATAAACGTCCCAACAATTTTGCAACCAATGTGTGGACCATTTCAGTGAATTATTCAAATTGAAATTTATAATATAGTAACAAAAGCTCAGGGGCAAAATTTTCCAAAGTCTATTTTGTGCTATTTTTAATGTTTATCATGCAAGGGGAAAGTGGGGGTGTCAAGAACGGTTGGCCAAGAAATACAGAAAGAGAGTGGAAATGGACTCTTTCCCAGGGTACAGGAGCATTGGATAGGGGCGGTGAAGAGGCGATGGACGACATCCAGGAGCTGGACAGAAGCCACCAAAGCCATGGCACAAATTGAGCAACTCCGAAAAGGCCAGGAATAGAAATCAGACAAGCAGCGCGAAGTGCATGCTTGCAGCAATGCGTGTCGTGTCCCCGCTTCCCAAGTACTTAGCCCGCCAGGTCTACCACTGCCGCTCTCACTCTCATATCTTCGCTTTGTCGGATACATTTGCGTGCGTGCAGGTTCATTCCTGCATTCCCAACACTTCACGAATCTCAGACACTCGAGCCCGTTGAACCCGCACCACTATAGCACAGCGCACAATCTGTTGCTTCTCGTCACACCCAATAGTACTCGTTTTGTGTTCATTGCGCAACCTTACATTGTAGAAACTAGTGCTTTGTGCGTCTAGGTGCGGTTGAGTGGAACAGTGCGTCTGGGTTGTAGTTGGTGGACCAGTAAGTCAGTTTGAGGAAAACTGACGCTGCTCTGTGGATATTATGGACTGACGACTGATCGGAAGCCTTCAGGACAAGGAGAGTGATGCGTGTTATTGGTGGGCTGATGAACCGGGTATGAGTAGGTGGTAGTTGTAAGTGTTGCTTAACTGCATCAAGTGCTTCGAAAGAAATTGTCGGTGAGCCCGTCGGAGTGTAGGTTTGGGAACAGTTCTAGTAAGATAGATGGCTTTGGGTATGGGTCTCCCGGCGGAACAGTGCGATATTTTCGACCTTCACAACTATGCAGACCAGGAATATTGGTCAGACCTGGAAGACCTCGAAGTGGACGAGGAGTATGCTGTCACTCCTAGAGAATTCGAGCCTGTTGTTCCACGCAGTTCTAAACGGACCTACGGAGTGTTCGTCAATAGTGAGGCAGTGCCTGAGCGATGGCAACGGCGCAGAATTCATGGGCAATTTGAGCTTTTGCGTGCCGCCACCCCGAATTCATGCACTGTGAGTTCTCGTGTAGCTGTTCCCTCATTTACGAGCAGGAAAATACTTAGAAAATATTTGTTGATCAAGTCGATTGGTCATTTGGTTCGAAGCTGTGTTCAGTTACTAGAATTCCTAGGTCGTGTTCTAAATGTTGCGACACGTGATTCACAAGCTCTGTTCTGGATTTTTCAGGATGACAAGACATCAATCCTCGCAGATTCACATGAGTACATCGAGAGGTTGCAAAGACAAATACAGGAGCTGCAGTGTGAGCTCGATGCTTCTTCTTGTTTCGAAGACGACTTGAGTTGCTGCGAAGATGATGCAAGCTCTTGTGAAGACGACTCGAGCCCGTGGTTTACAAATGAAAAGAGAACTGTAGACTCGAATCCTGCACCCAAATCGTACAGTGCATTGTCCGGCATATGCTCGCAACCTATGGTATGCACTTCCAGTTCTGTGGGCATTTTGCTTCGATTTTTGGATGAATGATATGAAATTCATCTACGCGTAGCACCCTATGGCTCACTCTGAAATGTCTGTGCAATCAGGTTGAAGTTGGGAGGAACGAAAAAGGATTAAAAATCTATGTCGAGTGTAACAACACTTCTGGGCTGTTGGTGGACATTTTGAATCTATTGGAGTCAAGTGGTATGAACGTGGAACAAGCAAGAATATCTTGTCAAGAAGTTCTTTTCTTGGAATGCTTAGGATTGAAGGTAAGACACTGATTCCTGTGAGACTCAAATCGCTAGTTGCATTACGAAAAGCCTGCTGACAGTGGCAAATAGTCAATCACAGTGGTGCATAACCACCAGATTGACTATTTGCTGACATGAATTTGCTAGGACTAGTAGCTAACAGGAGTGTCCATAAAGATTTGATCGTTCTTGGTTCACAACAAGTTGCTAATGTGTTCATCTGTACTATGCAGGGCGAGACCGGTGATGAAAATGACGAAGCCCACAGCGAGTGCGTGTCGCGATTGATCGCCGAGGAAGTGGCAGCAAGTTTGAGGTCTCTCATTGCCAAGAAGGCTGAAGTCACGTTGCAATAAGTTCAGGAACATCTTCGAATTATGACCTGACTCGAAGCTTAGCCTCATGTTAATAAGTATCCTTTCGGAAGCTGGATCGGCTGAATTTATGAGCACAATGCAGTTCGTCATACAGTCGGAATGGGTTCGAAGCAGAAAGACGCAACCCAGATGGACTGAACTGTCAAATTCGTCCTCACGAACACTCCATTCTCACAATTCTTGTTGCGAGGGGGTGCGGATTCACGTGCTCTTTCCGGTAAAATGCCGAGATCGAGTTGCTTCATTTCACTTCCCTTACAGCAGCGGGGAACAATGACGGCTGTCCAGTCTCTTTGGCAGGCGAACTCCTCTCGCCTGAGACTGCAGCAGCGTTGTCATGAAATTCAATGAAGCTCGACTTACCTAAATGAAGCTCATACTGGGTTCCTCAACGGCTCTCAGAGTTTGTAGTAAGCAAGTACTGGATACATTCAGCATATACTTAAGTGTAAAGTCATATGGCACTCACTCATGCCACCTCCCTTTGTAGTGTATCACTATTTGCCGGGCTAGTCGGTTGTAACTGATATCAGTTTTCTCAATTAGATCTTATTTTCAACAAAGAAACGCCCAAGAGACCATGTCTGGTCTTGTCCACGAAGGCCTCATCTGAATGATCGCCCCTCGTTGCGTTGTTCACTTCGTGAAACATCCCTTGCCCACGTTGTGGGAACTTTTTTGGTTTAAACTTCCGTTTACTATTTATAACATATATACTTTGTAAATATGGCCTTTTAATCTCCACTTCAGCAAGGCCAACTGCTGGATTTAGTTGTAACAACAAATTCGGTTGTCATTAGTCCCGAGTAATTGCTCCAACCACCTTGAGAACATTATCCCAAGTGGAGAAAAATCCGCTGCTAACTAGTGCTGTAACCATACCAGCAAGTTTTTGTTACCATGAAATTGTCCTTCTCTTCAGTAAACGAAGCCGTGACTAGGCCCGTTTTTTTGCACCATGACAAACGACTCACTGCTCCCGCACTGGAGGTGTCCTCTGGATCGACATTCCCCGTGGAAGAATATCTGTTCGCGACGTCCGGGCAGAGGATCCATCCAACTTCTCACCTTCCTTCCCGTCTTCCTTCACACAACGCCGATCTAAAACAAGCAGCTTGCGAAAACTATCTTGAACTATCTTCTCGCTGCGAAAGCCCCACTGTGTCCCATTCATGCTCAAAGCAGCAGATTCTGTTCTCAGAGATCGCAGGAGATTAGTTGTGATGGAACTTCCCTCCGCTTACGTTGTTTATATCTTGCGGTGACCACAATACCTCGTAAATGAACAAAATCCACTACGATGGACCTTCTTTTTAGAAACATTCCAACTCCCAAAATTCTATTGGAAGAGGAAGACATTCGCACTCCTTGTCTTGAAAATATAGAAAGAGTATGTAAAAGTGTGTGCACGTAGAGAATTTAACGTTCATTTTGCAGTTAAAAACATGCGAATTAACATTTTCATACTTTCTAAATATGCTTGCATTTGAGACACGAAGTAATTTTTTTTCATAAGCTGTGGGAAGCGTTGGAAGGATTAAATGCAGCGGGTAAAATCTAGAGATGTTTTAAAAAATAAAATCATGACTATCAGGGTTGAATTTCAATAAAACCATGACTACCAGGGCAAGTGCACTGTGCCACCAGTGGAGGAGTCGATCTTCACTGATTCGCTTCGGTGAATTCTCTAACCGATGTACTCTAGGACACACTCCTTCAGACCATCAAGAATTTGCGGACACTGCCACGTATTCCACTTCGAACTTTTTCCTTTACCTTTTGGAAATCGACTGACGTCCTTTGTGTTCATAATGTGTTTATCAACCGCCATCCGGAAACATCGTAATGGCCACGGCGGGTTTAGGGCTCGTTACCCAGCGGGAATCTCATGGTGCGTGTTCACCGCACGCCGGGCCACTGACTTCTCCTTATTGGGAGCACGGCGATCCGCGAAGGTGCAGCTGACCTATAGATATGCCAATCTGCCATCATCCTGAAACTCCTGGCAGCATCGCTTTCTGCGACGCGATTTCGTCGTGATTGTCGAAGCGCTGACAACGCACGATTCTGGCTTATTATACAAGGTTTTACATCCTTTATAGAGTCTTGTTTATTCTGGGGTTGAATTTCGCCAATCCAACCAGAACCCGGAAACTGCCGCGAATCACAAGCACCGAGATCCCACATTATCGTGGCTTTCATACGGAGGTAGGTGCTGCTCATGTTCCGTGTGGAAGCGCAAGTGTCTTCTATATCTGTCAATTGGCAGGACCCTCGATTAAGTTGTCTTACTCCCTGTTTGCCGTGACATCACCCACCAAGAAGCTGTTTACTTCGTGAGGAGTGCTCTCATCATGCCAATCAACAAGCACCATCAGTCATCGCTGCACCACAGCAGCAATAGTTTGGCGGACTTGATTTTCTTTAAAAAATCAATTTGTTTTGGTTGCATATATAACAATATGAAATCTTATTATTTTAATTATAAATTATAAATTTAATATTTCAACTATCAATTATGCCAAAATGTGTTTGGTCATGATACCAAACACATTGTATCTTGCTATCTATTTGAAGAAGAATATGTAGTTCTTGAAGATCTTCATCTTGCTTATATCATTTTAAAAGTTGAAACAATCACAATGTCTCATTCGGCAAGTCAGCAAATAATATCTCTTGAGTTGAATTTGCTAGTTGTTGATTCTTCATCTTTTTAGTGCCACAATATACACAGAAGCTACAAACAAGGATAAAGGTAAAATATCATCTTCTTTTGATCTTGTTTCTTGTATAGCAAAGATTTGCTATTCTTTATTTAGGTTTTGATGGATGTCGTTGAAGAAAAGCATCCACCTTCTTTGCTATATTTATAAGATTCTTTGCTGGCTCTTGTAGGCATTCACTTATATCATACTTATATTAATGAACAAGATATTCCAACTTATTTTGGTACCGCTTTGAGTCTAAAACTTCTTCTACATCAAATTCTTCATTATTGTCCACTTCTATAGGAGAAAGTTGCACTTGTTTTCTTTTTGGTATGTTCATTGTCTTATACAATTTAAGAAGAGACATTTAGAATATAAGATGGATCTTCATTGACTTTAGTAGGTATAATTAATAAGCAATTGGATTGATGTGTTTACAAATAGGAAAAGGTCTAAGCTTATAATAGTCCAACTAATCATAGTAGTCTTGATATTATGACAAAGTAACCATACCTGTTAAATCATATTGAATTGTGGTTGTTCCTTGCGATAGGCATCTGCATTTATCTTTTGTTGTTCTTAAGCTTCTTTCAATTGCACCTCTATTGTTGTGTGTAGCTTTGACAAAAAATTTGCCAAATCTTTTGTGGCAAGATTATCAAATCTTGAAAAGTCAAAAGCATCAAGTCATAGATGATAATCATAATTAGCAAAGAAAGGTATTCGGTGAATAAAAGAATGTACCATGTTATTATAAGAAAATTCTACCAATTATAAAAGAGTTATCTAATCATCTTATTAGTAGTTAATGGTACATATCAAATATTGCTCCAAAACTTGATTAATATGCTTCATAAGTCCATCAATTTGAGAGTGAAAGGCCAAAGATAATATTATATCTACCTTTAGAAACTTGAAAAGGATTCTCTAAAATCTTCATACAAATTAAATCCTCCTATTTAATATAATATTCTTGAATAATCTATGATAATAATAGATATTTTAAGAAAAAAAATTATTATTTTTTCACATGTGATAGAATTTTTATATAATATAAAATATTCCATCGTAGTAAAATAATCTACAATGATAAATATAGAATCATATGAACTTGAGACTAGAATATCTATTGTTATATTACATGTGTTGCTTGAAAATGCACCAAGCACCTAGATGTAGAAGGTAAGTAGAAATGTAAGAATAATCTTATCAAGTCTAATAGAATCTTAAATAACTTTAAATAAAACTTAATAATTCTAATCAAACTTTGATCAATTGAAAATAAACTCAAAAAAAGTTATAAAAAAAATATAAAGAAGTTTCAAATTAATTCCAAAAAAAAAGAAACAAAAAATTTCAAAAAAAAATATAAAAATAAACTTTAAAAGAAATAATAATAATCTTAAAGAAATATTAAAAATAAAAATCTTTAAAGAAATAATAAAGAATCCTAAATAAATACTAAATATAGAAATCTTAATATAATCTTAATTTAAATCTTAATTAAACCTTTAAAAAATCTTATTTCAAATCTTAATTAAAATCCTAATTGAACGTTAATAAAATCCTATGTCAAATTCTAATTATAATTCTAATATTATAATCTTATGTCAAATCATAATAAAACCTTAATAGAACTCCAAATCCTAGAAAAATCCTAGAAAAATTCTAATCAATCTTTAATTAAGTTCTAAACCAAATTCCAAGCAAATCCAAATCCGAATTCTTAACTAAACTGTAGACAAATTCTAAACCAAATCTTATAGTAAATTGAAATTTCAACAACTGATGATCGAACTATTAATATTAACTTGAAATTTTCACATTTTTTATAATTTTAATTAAAAACAAGCACAAAAAAGATGAAATTTATTGCACTTACTAATTAAAAGAAATACAAGATAATTTAATAGGATGTTGAATAGCCTCCTAGTCCAATCTGAATATTGAACTTCCAACACCAATACCTCCTTTCTAATCCTTTGAATTGCTTTCAAATTTTACTTAAATATTGAAAATTAAGTTTAGTATTCATATAAAAAAATTTCACATCAATCTTATTCATAGATCACTAAAGATCTTAGAAATACTTACTAACCTTCAAACTCCAAATTCTGAGACCTCAATCCACAAAAACTTATACACATTCCGATCTAATTGTTTAATTGACCTAAAAATTTCCATATACATTAATTACTAGCATATCAATATATTATCTAAAATTGAACTATATTTACACTAAAAAATTCAAGAAATCCTCAAATTAGTAAATATAATTTTATTTCTCAAAATCTAAACCAACGAAGAATATTATCTATTTTGAAAATCCATTCAAAATTAAATATTCATTTAATTGATATAAAAATAATGCTTAAAAATATCTTCTTAAATGTGCTCCCAAATCCTACTCTTGAATCTATCAAAAAATCTTAGAGTCATCATAGGTATATAGTTGTATACCTCAGGGTCTGATTTTAATCCAAGTTGATAATTGATCCTCTTTGATAATCAATTCTTCGTTTCTTAATGTAAATTTTACAAAAATCTACTCCTAACTTCTTCTTACACATGCCTAAATTATTTAATTTTTCAATCTACTTTGTTTTATATTATTCATGGTCCACCAAAGTAAGTAGATGTCTATTTTGTAAAAAGATAATATTAGTACCGTTTAGTTTTACCATCTTTTTGACTATTATTTATATTTTTAAAATAATATTTTTATAATATTTTAAAATAAGATCTCCTATAATATGATATTTTCTTCTCTCTTTTATTCATTAGTTATATTATATCATGATATTATGATAAAAACCATAGAAATAAAAGATCATGATTGTTTGGATATGGATAATGGTTGGAGAAGTCTATAGAGGTGATGACGAAGAGTTTTTGATCTTAAGTAAATATCACATGACTAAAAAAAAGTCTTTTGTTGCCTTCCATATTTGTGATCACCAAAAATCTTTAGATATAAGCTTTCAAGTTTTGTTGTATTCAAAGT